AAAATAAACGCACCATTAATAATTAATAATTTTTTATTTTATACGTTTGCTTTCTGTCCCAATTCTGATTGGTTAATGAAGTATTTGTCTACTTCCTTACGCATATTATTTTGCTGTTGTCTATTTACTGCTCGCAACCTTTTCAAGCGTGAGTGGATAAATAAATTGTTCCAAATTGAATTGCGGCAAGAAATTTAGCTTTTATTAATGCGTCACCAGATTCAAAATATGTCACTTTGTACTTTACATATCATATCGTGCAGGGAGTCAAACTGAAGAAAATTTTTATGGAAAAAAGTCAATTTAAACTAAAAATTCCGATTATTTCATAAATTTTTGACGAAAAAAAATTTCTTTGACTTTAAATGGCGGTCGATACGAGCAGTTTTGTTCGGACATTTGGTTTCTAATCCATATTAATTGCTCATATTAAAAAATCATGTAAACTTCCAGCTGAACCGGTAGTGAAAATTTTATCCGTCCCCCAGATCAAAAGCGTAAAAAATGCTATATTCATTATTGACAGGAAAAGAGAACTGATCCGATTTTTTGACTTCTTAAAATCACTCTTGCCCATATGGATTTATTATTCAGTGACAAACATCCAATTGTGAAAAAAAAACAGGAGAGCAAAAGCACGCTTGGTCGGTATATCTGAACAATACTGTTGCTAAACACAGCTTAGTTGAGCTTTCGATTTACAATTGAAGATGTTTTTTTAATGACCTTTGCTACTACGAGAAAAAATAAAGCAAGATATTGAAAGACCAAAACATCAGAGAGGAAGGATCTACTTAACAATTGCCCTCCCTCTGGTACCTACTTAAGAATTGCCACCCCTATTAATAAAAGCAGTAAATTAGTGAGCTTTGTATTGAGACTTCTAATTTTGCTGCAATCTGATTGGTCGAAAATGCGCTATATTAATCTACTTAACAATTGCCCCCTTTCTTAAAAGGGGGAGGGGGTAAGGAATATGTGAGGGGTGGATTAGTAAAATCAGTATCATAACCTCCAAGAAATTTTCCTCAACATAGTGTTCATAAACGAATAGAACAAACATTTAGTCTCAGGTGGGAGTAATTGAAAATCGTGACGTACGCACATTGCTACTTTTTCAAGTATCGATATAACCAAAAATGAAAAGGCATTGATATTATATTTTGATATTTGTAGTACCCGCATTTGAGAGAAATGAAAGCTTCTGATCTTTCACAAGAATCTTTCTCATTTCCAGCGATCGGAATAAAAGAATGTCAAAAATGAAGTGCTTTTAAAAACCTTTTAAAACCGAAAAAAGCTAAATTTCTACACTGATTTAATTTACAATGCAATAAGAGCCAATGTCCAGCTTTTTCAAAAGTTATTGTTCCGACTTTCGAAGCGAAAGTAACGGAATATTTGTGCTCGGGGTGGGTTTGTTTTTTCTTCAGACAAATTTCCACTTTTTAACTAGCCATTTTTGACGGGTTTTTTTACATCATTCGAAAGGTAATGTTGTCCTGAGCTTAAATTTTTAAGATATTTTACCTGTGATTCTTTTTCGTAAAGTTATGGGGGTTTAAAGGTTGTCATTTTGGCTAACTTGCGACAATTAACGCGCGATATATTTCGCGCTATTAACGCGTAACCGGATATTTAATCCGTCTTAGAAATCGTTCCAAATTCGTTGAAAGAAGCTATTTTGTCATAAATGATTTGTTAAAAGGAGCAAAATTTATCCTTTTGTAGTTTATATGGGGTCTGAGGGATGATTTCCACAAAAAATCTCAAATTTTAGAGAAAAAATTTTTCATTTTGTTTTATTACATTTAAATTTTTTATGTTATTACTGCTCCATAGACCTTAAAAGGCAGTCGGAATATTCAGGGCCTCGCCCTGATACAAGCAGTCTTGTTTCAGCCTGATAATCAAATTTTGAGTTGGCAGACGCAGTTTTCATGAAGCGCATGAAGCGTGGCTTGCAAAAAAATTTAAAAACTGAAAAAGTTATCAGAAAATGGAGACGAGATACTTAATTCGCGTCGTTATAAGCGCACTCTCATATAGCGGAAGCTATTGTGATTATGTCTTAAGAACGGAAATCATGTCCCACAGCTTATGCCGTAATTTTAAAACTAGACTGCTCGTATCAGGGCGAAAAATATCAGCTTAATTCGGTCTAAATATTAGTCTAATTTTCAAACTTTTCACATGGGCCAGAATTGTTTAAAAATAAAACTGCTCGTATCAAGGTGAAGCCCTGAATGTTTCGACTGCCTTCCAAGGTTTATGGAGCAGTAACAACATTAAAAAAATAAATGTAATAGAATAAAATGAAAATTTTTTTTCTAAAAATTCAAACTTTTTCGTGAAATCATCCCCTCACACACCATATAAAGCACAAAAGAATCAATTTTGGTCCTATTAACAAATCAGTTATGACATATAAGCTTCCTTGAACCATTTTGGAACGATTTCTAAGACGAATTAAATCTCGCTTACGCGTTAATAGTTCCGAAATACATCGCGCGTTAATTGTCCCAAATTGGCCGAAATGCCAATCTTTAAACCCCCTTAACTTTACGAAAAATTATCACTGGTGAAATATTTTTTCAAATTTAAGCTCAAGACAACATAACTTTTTGGAAGTTATTAAAAAATTCCGTCAAAAAAGGCTGGTTTAAAAGTCGAAATTTTTCTGAAGAAAAAAAAACCCACCCCGAGCACAAATATTCCGTTACTTTCGTATCGAAAATCGGAACAAAAAGCGAAACAATAATACTTGTTTTCGAACTGCAGGACCATTTGTGTTCGCTATTTATTAGCATCTTCTGATATTTAGACAACAAAAGGCTGCGATTGAAGAAAGCTGATCATATGACATGCCAAAGATCAATTATTCGAATCATGAAAAGTTTTTTTCTCAACGAAAAGTTTTTATCCCCATGTAGGGAGAAATTCAAAATCGGCTGTTTTTTCCACTAAATATTAACATACCCAACAGATGTTAGATCGGTGATAAAATAATTGTTCCGACTTTCGATACGAATGTAACGGAATATTTGTGCTCGGGGTGGGATTTTTTTTCTTCAGACAAATTTCGACTTTTTAACTAGCCATTTTGACGGAATTTTTAAATATCACTCAATAGGTATTGTTGTCCTGAGCTTAAAGATTTAAAGATTGCCATTTTGGCCACTTTGGGACGATTAACGCGCGATATATTTCGCGCTATTAACGCGAAAGCGGAGATTTAATCCGCTTTAGAAATCGTTCCAAGTAAGTTGAAAGTAGCTTAATTGCCATAATTGAATTGTTACAAGGAGCGAAATTTATCCACTTATACTTTATATGGCGTGTGGGGGGATAGTTTTCATAAAAAACTTCAAACTTATGAAAAAAAAAATTTCGTTTTGTTTTATTACATTTAACTTTTTAATTTTGTTACTGCTCCATAAACTTTAAAAGAAAGTCGGGGCATTCAGGGCTTCGCCCTGATACGAGCAGTCTTGTTTTGCCTCAAACTTTTTTCAGTCGTAGTTTCCATTTTTTCTGTGGCGACAAAAAAAACTGTTTGAGTTTTTCGATTTACAGAATAACTGAGGCCGAAAATTGGCGAGTGAATCGAACAGAACCTTTTTGAGCACTACAGGGTGTTTTGATGGTCTCAACTAAGTTACTGTAGAAAATCTTGGCGTCTTTTCGCACAGTATGATGAAAAATAAACTTGTCTAGAAAATGGTAGGAAAAGTTTATACCATGTTTCCTTAGTTGCAATCCCATCAACAAGTTTTCTTGAAATTTGTCTCTCATAATTTTTTGATCTCAAGGCTTTGGTACTTTTGTCAACTTTATAAATTGCCTTCGTCTATTTCGCATTTGAAACTTTTGCGCTTATCATAACATCATATCAAGTTTTCATCATTATTCAAAAAATTGCATCATGAAAATTTAATAATCATCGAATCAATTAACTTTTGGAACTTTTTGTCCGCCTATAGCCAATTTTACAGGGTACAGGGAGAGGGTCTTGAATAACTCTTTTTGATGGTGAGACAACAATGAACGGAGCTCAATGAATATTCCCATGTAGGTCAATTAACCTGAAGTCTGTTCATATTGAAACGTTTGAAATTTTTTTGCATACCTTCGTGTTTTTTTTTCTGTTGAACATAGGCCTTTCTTTTGGCATCGCAATTGATGCCAAAAGAACGACTTCCACTTATTTTTTATCTATTTTTTTTCTTATTTTTGTGTTATTGTGGACACAAAACAAAAGTTTACCAAAATTTCATTTTTTTGTTTTTCATTTTTTGTAAGGTAGTTTGAGTTAGCAATAACTAATGAATCCTATGTGTGGTTAAAAAAGTAAAGTTTCAGATTTTCCAAAAAGTGCTTGTCATATTAAAACCAGGTCAGTCGTTATTTGGTGATCTGTTCGAAAAAACAAACAATTTCTCGAACTATCGAGAAAAAACTGGATTTTTGTGTTTTCAGACTTATACGGAGTTTATTGAAGAATGAACTCCTCGTTAAATTTTTCATCATAGTTTGAACTTATATAGTTTTTCAATCTCTCATTCGATTGGCTCTCTCTATTTTTTCATTTTTTTCTGAAGTTTTGACTATACGCTTTTAGTTTTATAAACAGTTGGACCCGACCAATCTGCGCTACTTAGGCAGCCACCGTTTTTTCTTGTTGTTTTGTTATGGCTCTATCGTCAAAAACCTAACAGTAGAATGATTTCAAAAAATTAGGAACCTATTCGACAAAACATGAAAAAAAACAAGCAGTTTTTTTGTTATGAACTTTTGATTTTTTATTTGGGAAAAAGTGTACTTCACTTAAATATACTACGCACTCAAACGCAGAACAATTAAAAACCAGATTTAAGAAAGGTTCTTACTTTTAGTTTTCAGAAGAGCTGGCTGATTTTAAAATGGTCGAGAAATCTTAGTAAAAAATAAATGGCTTTCCTGATTAAATTTTCAAGTTTTCGCTTGTTTTTGAAACTCACCCCTCAGTTGTTTCTCTGCCACCGATTCCTCCTCTGGGTTCAAAAAGTGTCCCTTGCTCTGCTGGGCAGAAATCAAAAGAGGCAGCAGCAGCCCAAAAAATATGACGGACAATTTCGACAACATTGCGAACAGAGATGAAAGTTTTTGGAATTTCTTCAACTGGCTCATTTTAGACGACAAAAATTACTGAATTTATGAGTATACGAAAGCTTAAGTTAAGTATAATTGTAGCTGAATGAATGTCAGTTTTTGTTTTTTTTTGCTGGACTTCGATGTTGTTTTTTGAATATATAAGAAGGTGATGAACGCGGCAGGATATCGAAATAAACTCTTTCAGAAAGACAGAAGATTCCTCGGTAATAAAATTGCGGAAATTCGCTCAAAACCGTTTCCTTAGCCGCTCTTTTATAAATTCATTCAACAATAAAAACGAAATTGCGCGGACCAAAATTCAAAGGGAACCAACCAATCGAAACGCGGTCTTCCTTCATTTAAAAATTGAATCAAGAAATCAGGTTTGCTTTTCAATGGTAATCAGCGATTTTATCTTAAACCAATTTTCCCAAAAACCTTTTCATTTGACTTTTTAATTGAGTAGAGTAGGTACTTAGAATGACAATTCTCGATGAATACAAATTATTGTCCGATTTTACTGAAGATCAATTAAAAAATGGGGGTTTTTGATTAGTCTTGTACACAAATTTCCTTGTTTAGTAATTCTATCAACCGGCTTCATTGTCGCGTTTAAATTTTTTGATCTAATTATAATCGGAATTTCCGACGAGCTTGAGATCATAATACCTGATTTGGCCAAATTGCAAAACTGTTTGCGTCATCACAAAATCTCGTGTAATTAGGGAAATATATTGCGAAAGTCTCATTTGTGTATTTAGGAAATTATATAGCAAAAAGTCTTAATTTGTGTATTTAGGGAACTCTTTAATCAGAATAATATAGAATGATATTTGAACTAAATTTGCATTGAAAATTTTAGTTCTTTTCCACAATGACGTTAATATCTCTGTCTCGTTTTATACCGAAGCCATTTTTCAAGAAACTTTTTCTATCTGAAAAATTCCAGATCAAAATTAACATTCGTGGAGTTGTTGCTCCAACTTTTCAGGAAAACTATGTGAGGTTGATTTTTTTTATTCTGCCATATTTGGCAGACAACAGTTTTCGACGTTTATTCAAGGTTGAATAGCAACTTGAATTCTTATTTTTTTCGCCGTCGGTGTGGTCATATTTATAGCGTTGGTGTGGCAATCTGAAAATTGAAGTTTTGAACGCAATTTTCGTAGTACGACAAACTTTGAAAAAACTTTGTAGTACGACAAACTTTGAAAAAATGTCATTATGATTTTGATAAAATCTGCAATAGAAAGAATCCTATGCGAACCGCAGTGCAGTTTGCATTCGACGCACGTTCTTGTCCGAATAATGCAAAGTCCATGTCCGAATGAAACTTAACAAAGAGCTAGTTCCAAAAAAAAATTTTTCCCATTGAAAACTGTAATTTTTTCCGAAATCTTTCTATCAAATAGTTTTAGAAAAATTAGTATCACCTTTGAAAAAAATACGAAAGTATAAAATTTACGCTCCAATTATCAATTTCCCAGTTTTTAAAAATTTATCGAAATTTAAAAATATATATTTGACACACCTATAACTGAAATTTTTCTCTCTACAAGGGGAATTGCCAATTTTTTGCATACCAATTTTTCTACCAAATTACTAGCACTCAGGGGCGGATTTAGGGGGGGACGTTCTTTCCCCTCAGGGATTTGACCCCCTGCCGACCCAAAGGGTCCCCCCTTTGACACTTTTTCAGAAATCCATTTTTGCCCGACCGACCCTAAAATTTTTCTAAAGGCGCCTTAGGCGCCAATATATACTAACTTTGAGGGGGAGCGCGCTACAAAAAAACGCGATTTTTTTGTCAAAATTTTTCAAAAAGTACCCAAAAACGGCTTTTTTGACTGTTTTTTCAAAAATTTTCCTGCGGCGCACAAAATTTTGCCAAAATAGGGGCAAAACACTGCTTTGGGAGAGCTCGAAAAATCAATTTGGTCGACCTAAAAAAAAAAAGGTCGTCAAAATTTTCGATTTTTTTTTGAAAATCCCCCCCCCCCCTCGAGAAAATCCTAGATCCGCCCCTCCTGCTAGCACTTTTTTTTCTGGAACTATTTGGCCTGCATTCCATCAGAAAAATCAAGTCGTTTCTTTCGGAGTGATTTTTTCTGTTTTTCTTTGACACATGAACAGAAATTTGGCTGAAAATAAGGCAGGATATTAAAAAACCTTCTTCAGTTTTGAATTGTTAGTTCAATACTCTTATCGCTAATGTTAAAGTCGTAAGCTTGGAAATTCAAAAAGGTTGCTAATTAGTTTTATTGTAAGCAAACTGTTAGGCATCAAATCGAAATCTTACTGCACTCTTTTATTTCAGATCCCATCGGACATTAGAGATCGCAAGGTCAAGACAGCAGGTCCCCAGACAGAAAGAAGAATTGATAGCACTTACATAAACTCAAACTGGTGTCTATCTAGAAGAATTGATAGCACTTACATAAACTCAAAACTGGTCCCTATATCATTCGGGTAACCACAAATAAATTTTAGCGTAGATAAAATTTATCAACTTTATGTTACTGTTTTGTATTGTATAAATGTACTAGTTAAGTTTTTAGTTTTCGTTGAGTTTTCTCACCCGCCAAACCTCTCTTAAGGTTTACTTTTCTCCTTTGTCTCTTCTTGTCGATTCCCTCATTTATGTTCTATGCGGTGGATCATAAACCCCCCCCCCCCCCCATTTTGTCAACTCCGCGTCTCTGCCGTGTTGATTTTCGCGTCGCCGTTTCGTACTGATTTTTATTGCGTTTTCCACCGACGGATCGTGGTGAGTTCACACTAACCGACGGTACATCCTGTCCTTCGTTCGCCGCACCTATGGTTGGTTCCCTTCGTCCGATTTCCCACTCACTATCGTAGTCGTCGTCGTCCTCGCTCTCGTCCGCCGAGTATTCCACTATTCGCTGATTTGTTGATTTTCTTGCATTTTCCATTGTGGTTCGGTCCTTCTCCGCTTTTTGCTTATTTTTATTTGAATCGCTTGGGGCCGGTGTACTAGTTACGTTTCTACTCGGTCCAGGGGTGCACTCCTTGCTTCTATTCCCAATTAGGCTTTCTTCAGCCGCCGATCTAAAAGACACACCACTCCGCCTTAGTAACGACCCTTTTTCCATTTGCACCGTATGTTTAGTCATTTTTTGAATTTTTAATGGCAAACGTTTATACCTCCTTGGGTCCTTTGGATCCGTCTTCCCGGTCCTCTAATACACCGTCGTTGAACTTGTTTTATGCTTTTTCAGCCATGTTGGGGTCTTGGGTGGGCCTAGTTCCTTGGGGTCCACAACTTCCGGAGCCTTGGGATCCGTTACCACGTCATCGTCCAAAATGATTGGAGCTTTCCTATTTTGAGGGGCGTACACTAAGTCACTTCTCTTCTCCCAATCTAGGGTAAGTTCAACTTCTGGGAGGTTTCCCGCCTTGTCTAAACAAAATAACTTTTGATTAACGACATTGTTCCAATTTAGGTTTTTCAATGATGGCTTTTTCGTTAAATTTCGCAGTGCCGTATTTGCTTCTCGACCATGGTATGCTTCGAACGGCGTTAGTTTAGTTTTAGAGTGTGGCACGAAACGTAATGCACTAAGCGCACGGGATATCATCTCCCCAAACTTGTAGTTTTTGTTTTCCTGGAGATAAGTCAACACGTAATTTTTTATCGACCCAATAGTCCGTTCAACCATTCCTGTTGCGCGATGGTCCCTAACCGGAGATTTAATAATATTCGATACCTTCGTAGTTACAGAAATTTTGAATTTCGTTAGAGAAAAACCCCGTGGCTTGATCCATGTGCAATTTCCTTGGGTGTCCATGAGTATTTATGTATTTCCTTAGGAATTTCAATACCTTTTTGGATTTGTTGCTTCAACAAACATACGCCGACGGCCAATGCGAGAAAGTATCTACTGCTACAAGTACATATTTTTTCCGACCCCTAACATAGTTTACTGGACTCCAGAAGTCTAATTGGACCAAATCATTTGGTTCCTTAGGATCATACGTTTCCCACATGTCATTTGTCGGAATGTCTGGTTTAAGGTTTTTACCTGCTTCTAAGCAACTTTTGCAGTATTTGGCTGTGGCCGCGATATTTCGGTGCATAAGGGGAATCCACACGTCCTTTGTGGCCGCAAACATCTTATCCCTCCCATGGTGGTTGAAATGGAGACGATTCAGAATTGCTGATGATAGGTCCTTCGGTATTGCTAACCGGCCGTCCATCCACAGGCAATTCTCCCGTACTGGGAAATCGTTGTAATGCTGGATCATACGTTTCCCACATGTCATTTTTCGGAATGTCTGGTTTAAGGTTTTTACCTGCTTCTAAGCAACTTTTGCAGTATTTGGCTGTGGCCGCGATATTTCGGTGCATAAGGGGAATTCACACGTCCTTTGCGGCCGCGAACATCTTATCCCTCCCATGGTGGTTATAATGGAGACGATTCAGAATTGCTGATGATAGGTCCTTCGGTATTGCACAGAATTGCACATAGGTCCTTCGGTATTGATTCAGAATTGCTGATGATAGGTCCTTCGGTATTGCACAGGCGTAATATTGTCCTTATCTTGTAATAATCTCCTTTGCTCGTGGGTTCCTGTCTCTGATGTTGTCTCGGATGGTCTTCATAATTGGGTCTTTTTCAATATTTGCTTCGATTAATTTTAAATTCAAAACTTCTGGGTGTTCAATTTTCTTCACTATTTTACTATCCGACGGCACTATGGAATAGATTCATTTTTCATTTTGTACAAGTGGGTGCGATAAACTGGGGAACTGATGTGGAAAAGATATAATTGTATTTAGTTTTTTAGAATTAGTTTGTTTGGTATCAAGTTTTGCCGGCGGTATCATTTCAATATCGGAATCCGAACTAACGCTAGGAGGTTGATTTAGGCGGTTTAGTACAACATTTAGATTAACATTTCCCGAATTAGTTGATGTGTTGACTTTTGCCGAAGTTGGAGGATCATTCTTTTCTGGCGAATTACTCATGTTATTTCTCTCGGATTTGCTACTGTATTTTTTCAAAGTAACTGGCTTTCCACTATAATCTTTACTACTGTAAATTTTCAAAGTAGGTGGCTTTTCACTGTAATCTTGTAAGACGGATGGTTCGCAACTGCAAATTTTTGACACAGAAGGCTTGCACTTGTATTTAGTTGAAATGGAAGGGTTTCGAGAGTATTGAGTCAGTTTTTTGTGTTTGCAACTGTAATTTAAGCAATGAGAACAAAGTCTGAATCTCGTTCTTTGTTATTTGCATTTTTCCTCCGGTATGCAAATATCTCGACGCTGATTGGTTAACCGTCGGTTGCATGTAAGCACGCCCTCTATTGAGCGTTTGTGCTCACG